GTTCTGTACATAACTGAAAAAGTAGCATATATTCTGAACAGTTGGGATTCTAGCCAGGTCTAACTTCTCTATCAGTTAAACAGCAAATAGGGGTTGAAATGTGCCCATACTAGTTTTCTGAGTATAGAACTAAAGATGAGGGCTGTTGACTAATTAATGCCATCAGATGTAACTCTATAAACTATAGTGCTGACATATTAAAAGAAGTATGACTAGTAAATAAATTCTTACTAAACAGGTAATGTCTCAGAAAAATTAAGAAATGGCCATCTCCTTTAAGAAAAAACAACCTAATTTTCTTTGAGGGTGGGTTGCAGGCTGAAAATGAGATCTGTAGCTATTTTCTTTAGTTTATTCTCTACCTCCTTTAAGTAGCATATTACAGACTTGGACAATCAAAGGACAGCATGTATTTTATAGGCTGTCAATAAAAAAAAAAAAAATCTACTTTCCTTATGATGGAAACATATACCAAGAGCTGCCCTTAATGTTGATCAAAACTTCTTTTGTCACAAGAAATACAGGCAAGTTTTTGAATTACTTTGAGTATAAAAACAAGTCTTCCATTATGTGCATATGTTAAATTGTTCTTTTACTAATACCATGATCACATCTGCAAAGATTGGAAATCCAGATGTTTAGTTGTACTTCCAGCATGTAGCATATTCAGAATCCTGTAAGATCTGTTATGAATTACAGTACAGGGTGCACAGTCTTCACAAGGATGTTTCTGGAATGACATGTGAGGAAGAGACCCGGGAGGAGCTGGTGGACCTGCTAGCCTATGGGATGGGAGATGGTCTTAATCTTTGTAGACCATGTCTTCTTCCTTTGAATCCCCTTCGCAGTGTAAGCTGTGCGATGGGACTTAGCAGAGTTGAATAATAAACTAACTAATAGCTAAGGGAACTTTTGTTTGACAGAAGACTATTCACAACTACATTGGGCCGTTAATTCTTGGTAGCTTGGTGTGGTGGGTTGACCCAGGCCAGCAATTAAGCACGCACCGGCTGCTCGCTCACTCCACCCTCCACAGTGGGATGGGAGAGAGAATTGGAAGAGCAATAGTGAGTCGAAACTCGTGGGCTGAGATAAAGACAGTTTAATAAGTAACGGGGAAAAATGAAGAAAAAGAAAAAAAAACAAACACAAACTCCACCACCAAGTGGCGCAAAGGCAATCACTCACCACCTCCCACCAGCAGACCAATGCCCAGCCAGTCTCTGAGCAACAGCTACCTTGGAAAGATGACCCCTGCTTTTATTGCTGAGGATGATGCTATACGGTATAAAATGTCCCTATGCTCAGCTGGGGTCAGCTGTCCTGGCTGTGTCCCCTCCCAGTCTCCAGCCTACTTGCTGGGGGGGGGTGTGCAGGGAGGGGCAGCATGAGAAACAGAGAAGGCCTTGGTGCTGTGCAAGCACTGCTCAGCAGTTGCTAAAACATTGGGTATTGTCAACACTGTTGTAGCCACAGATCCGAAACTCAGCACCATACAGGCTGCTGTGAAGAAAACTACCTCCCTCCCAGCCTGACCCAGTACACCTGGCATTACAGGAGTCAGACCGGTTTATAAATACATTAATGGAATTGAAGTATATAATTTTGATTCCATTCGTATGTCTGTCTTTTCTCTCCTGCATGGCTTGGTTGTTTACGTACATTATTGTTGTACAACCTTCACATGGTAGTAAAAGCTTTAGCTTTAAACTTGCACCCCCCCATCTAAGCAGTCTGCTCAATGAGTTCTCTTCTTTCAATTACTTCTTCTACTGATTGATCTCACATCTAAATCAGCAGCTCTTGAAGAGATGGGAGTTACAACTCTTTGAATTGTGACTTCTAACACCAAAGAGTAACATGTCGACACAACTGATGTTAGTGGTAGTTGTATCACTAATTTGAGACACTTTTGGTAAATCTCCATATTTTGAATTCTAGGGTCACTGTAGAATTTAAAGGTCTTGGGATTACAGTGCTTCGATGTGTAAATTACTGTGTAGTCCTACCTCTCAGGAGCTCCAGGGAAAGCACTCTGTAAATACTGATGTCCTAAAAGAAAGTAGATGCATATGTTTTTAAGAGGCAGGTTAAGTTCTTCAAGTATTGTTTATGTCAAATTTGTGGTAACCAGCTGTGTTCCAAGAAAGTAATGTGATCGTATGGTGGTGTTATCTATGGTTGTTACAGCTTCTGCTAATGTGCTTTTGTTCCTCTGTTAGATTTTTTTTTTTTCTGCTTTTCTTGTGATTCACATGTAAAGAGTATACCAGGCTACTTATCAGGCAGAGGAAATTTTCCATCACAGAATTGAGCTAGATACAACATACGCTCAGGTGTGCATGGTAAACAAAGCTGGAAAGAACACCGTTTTATTTTCTAGAGCAGACTTACATTTCGCACAGTTACTTGCTTAGAAATACATTAACAGCTAATTGGTGCTAAATTACATTTTACTCCATGCACAAAAGCAAATTTCTCCATTAGAGAACCTAGATTTACTTCACAGTCCTCACTAATTGTTCTCATGTTATTTTTTATAATGATATCTAATAATGAAAAGCAGAACAGAAGTGTGTTGTTAAGATTAAGGATGTAAACCTAACAAAAATCAAGAATTACAGAGTTAAGCTTGAATATTTACCCAACCTTGAATGCAATGATTTTCACGTATAGCACTGAAATAGCATTTGGTTACATAATAGAATATTCTTTCTCAGGTATCATAAGTAATATATAGTAACATTATATCATATAAATTATTTAGTATAACGTACACTTGACAGGGTGAAGCACGTAAGAGTCACACAATGAAAGGGTTATTTTTTAGAGTAACTGTAATCTATGCAACATACACATATAGGGCTAAATTTTTAAAGGGGTCTCGCTTTTCCCTCTGACTTTATATCCTCAGTCTATTTCACGCATGTATGATAGGATTAAGATATCTGAGGTTTTTACTTCAGTCACTAATTGATATATCTTAATCCTTTCATATCTGTCCTTAAAGTAAGAGGCCATCTTTAAAAATTTCACCTAAAGTGCTCAATTTTGCCTTCAGATACCTCCATGCAACTTCCATTGAAGTAATTGGAGCTGTGCCTGCATATCTGATGGTGGAACTGGACTCATTGCAATTAAGGTACACATTTACCGACATAATTAGTCATCTGGAATAATCGCTGGGCCCACTGTGACATTCTGCATGGGCAGAATTTCCTAGATGGGACCCTCTGCCTGTGGGAGACTGAAGATTACGATGATAACTTTATTTTGTGCCTTAAATTTGTAGCTGTAGCAGAATTTTAATGTAAATTGCTATATTTAATTTTCCTGTTTTTACATAAGAAATGTGGAAGGAGGACATGAAAACAACATATTATTCCCAGCGATGTCTTTGTATATTTTTTTCATACCTAACCAGCACACAGATACTCCGTCATTTCCACAAGCACATTATGGATGGTACGTGCATTCACAATCATCATTTGTGCAGTGGCACGCAGTTTAAAATATCCAGCCCTGAGTGTACTGCTTTTTTTTTGTATCTTTATGCCTGCAAAGCACAGACCAAAAAATAGATGTGTAAAGAATCCCACAGTTAACTAACAGCATCAAACCCACATATAAGAACTATGGTACCTCTTAATTCACAGTACTGTTCTTGAAACAACATGATAGAGTACATGTCTTCCACTAATTTAAAATTCTCTGTGTTTTGTGATTGAAAATGGATTCCATGAAGCTTTTAAATTGGTGTCTCTCTCCTGTCACTGGCGTGGGGAGGAGCTGTTTACAAAAATCTTGACTTTTAAAACTAGTCATATAAAGCCATGGTTGCCCCAAAAGCAGAAGATTTTGCAGAGGTTTTCCCAAGTAAAATGCCAGTCTTGAATTTGTGACCACACAAAAAATTCCAACTAAAAGATGGAAAAGTTGTTCTGGGATGTTATAACACAATGAACATAGTGAGTGCTCCTGTGATTTAGCGTAGTTACTGATGAATATTTGGGTCTAGTTCTAGAACTTTTACAAAGTGCCAGTTTTCAAGGTTTTGGTTTTATTGCTATTCCTTTGCATTTACAGTGCTACCAAGTTTAAGAATGGCCGAATATGTAGTTCCCTCTGAAAATTATCCACTGCCACAAAGATTAACTTATTTTAAGAAAGCCTTACCCCAGGGGCTTTCACATCCCTCTTTCCGTTAGTGCAAGGTCATCTTCCTGTGGGAAGCACAGCCAATATTAATTGCCATGGCTTCTTCGAATTGAGGAAAGTGCGCTTTATAGTACCACAACTTCTCGAAGGTTTAAGATTAGATTTCTTTTTTTTTAAATAAACACTATCATAGGGAAGTTGAAAACACAAGAACAAATAATTTCTTTGAAATAGAAGTGAACAGTAGAAAGCAAAGTGGTGCTTTTAAAGGACCTTTTGTAAAAAAAAAAAAATTACTAGAAAATTAATTTATTTTTTACTATGACTGGTTGAATGAAGAAATTATTCCTCTCAAATCATCTTTAGCTATGGTAAGCAGTTATGTCTTAAGATAGTAGTAGGAGCTAATTACTTTAAAAATAAATTTTAATACCTGTTTAATGCATTAATTCTTAGAATGCTACTGTAATATTTTCTACATTTAAGCAAATATATGGTTAGATGATCATGGATTTATGCCCCGTGCATCCAGAATACTTAACGGGTTTACAATTCAGCCTATCACCTAAATTCTTTCACTCTTTTCATATCTGTTGCACCAGCTTGATTATGTATAAGAAATTAGGATGTCTGCCCATTTTCAGGTAAAGACTTTCACAATGGAAGTGGTTGATTTCTTGACATTAGTGTTCCTTTGTTGTGTGTTTACACCCTGCTTGTTCTACATGTTTGTACATTTTTGTTTTGTTGAGATGGAAATAAGCTAAAATTGTTGCTAAACCATTTGTTTTTCCAAAAAGTTTTCGCTATTTTTAATTGATTTTCATTGTGTGTTTTTGCAGCAAGCTTAGTAGTGGAGGAGCGAACGAGACAGATGAAAATGAAAGTGCACCGTTATAATCAGACGTCAGGGTCTGGCTCTAGCCAAGAACATGAGCGTGAGCAATATACCAAGGTAAAGTCAGTAGTATTGAAATGATACTTTGGCTTGAAAATTGAAGGCATAAATCTGTTTGTTTAAAATATAATATAACCCTCAAGAGCACTGTGTTATAAAGTCTGACAGAAATGGCTTCGAGTAATAGCTTTTTAACATCATTTTTACCCCCCTCTGATGTGCATTAGACTTAGCCTTTAATGTCACCTAAAATGAATCTGCAAAAACCAGAGCACTTCAAAACTAATTCAGGGAAGAAGGATTTTTCAATAGCTATTAAACAAAGCTATGTCACCTCTAGCTTAGGAAGTCCCTGGCGTGCAAATCCCTGGAGGCTGGAGAAGTGGGCCATAGAAGTATCATGATACGTTGGCCTTACTCTTTTGTTCTTCTCTAGGCCCTTGCTCTTTGACGTGTAGAGAGCTAGAGAGAATTAGATCCAATCCCGTGCAGCTATTCTTGTATTTGTATAATTTTTTTGCATCCTAATAATATCGCAGATAAAGTATTTACTGTCTTGAAATACATACTGATTACTTTGATCTCCTTTTCTAACAAAAGTTTAAAGATTTCCTCTGATAATTAAGTGTACATGAAATTGCATTAATGAAGTTATATAGAGGGACCTTTTTTTTTCTTTGGTGATGCTAAGATGCTATCCCACAACCTTGTAAGTTTAAAACTGTATAGGCTTCTGAGCAAACCACTGGAAACGTCTCGCACATCTGCACTGCCACTTACAAATCAAGCTGTGAGCAGCTGGGGCTGAACTTTCTGCTAAAGATATTTTGCCTTGTGATGCGTAATGGAGGGGGGAACATTTGCAGAAGTCAGGAGGGGAAATGTTTAGTTAGATTCTGTGTTTCCTTTTAGAAATACAGCGCTGTGTTGGTGTAAGCAAGGTAAAGGGCAGAGACAAAACCAGTGGTAAGTCAGTTGTGGGGGAAGCATTCCTACAATTCTCCTCTTCCCATTCCATTGAGAGTTACTTGCTTTCAATGAGCGACCACGGGATGGCAGCATGAATGTAGAAGTCCACTGTAAAGAATTCAAACACGCATAACAACTGTGTGCATTAAAAATAAGGTCTCGGAATAACAGTAGTTGGAAGAAAATCCCAACTTTTGTGCTTCAAGAGCCACATTTCAAAGACTTTCTTCACGTTAGAAAGAACTAAACACTTGTATTTTTATTTCTGTGTTTTAAAAGAGGTGAACTTTCCTTTTGTGAACTGGTGCCATACGGAAAACAACAAACACTGTCAAGCTCTGAACAGTGGCGGACATCAGAACGTTTGCTGCTGTAGCACAAGCACCGCACTTGCTGTCCTTCCCCTCCTCCAGGGTCACTTCCCTGTGTTTTGCAGAATTGTTGCCTGCCCCTGGAGGCACAGACTAAAATAATGGATAGGTGAGGTACTCAGCAGAAACAAACCCAGACGTTTACTTAGGAACAGGTAAATAGGCAATTGGGCATCTAACTTGTAACATCTAACAGATTTGAAAGATTTGTTCAAGGTCTTGTTACCGTTAAATATGGCGACAACTTTAATAAAGGTGTTTCTTTTTTGAGACCACCTCACTGTGAACATAGAACTTAAATGAAACAGTTCTGAAAGGGAAGGGAAATAAGAGAAACAAGGCTTTAGGTCCTCAATTGCAGGATATCAGTGCTATTTTAAAAAAAACAACAATTGGGATGGAAATTTCCAATGAGATCATCTGTCAGAAGCCAGAATTTGTATAATAATTAGAACAGCTCATTTGAGATTGGGTTTACCATTACCTTCACAAGAGGTCAACTCAGGACAAGAGGGTGAGATGCAGTCTGTCTCCGTGGTGCTTCCCAGCCAGTTAACATGTTAAAAAAAATAGTAAAAATGGGCTTGATAAAGTTTGCGGGAGAGGAAGGTAATGTGCGATCTAAGGACTTTGGCCAGGGTGACCAAACACTCCTTTGTTCATAGTCAAAGGCCAGTTTTCTGATTTGGATTAACCATGCTTACAGATTAATTCAAATGTTCATATTTTTTCATTATGAAACATTTTTGAATCCTGACTCTAATATTTATCATAAGCATTATTTTTGCTCCTTAATATATTTTTTCTTATTGGCTTAATGTATATCCAATGTATGGTTAAATAGTTGTTGGAAAACATCAACCTGCAATGTTACGAATTTCTCTTATCCTCTAGTACCTAGAGTTTTCCAGCATAATCTTTAGTTTTTAACTCTATGTGGAAATGAAGTCAAAATTAAAATCACAGCATGATGAGTACTAAATGGAAAGAACTCTGTTGAAAATTGTTTTATTTGAAATAATTTTTTTAAAGTATGAACATAACTTTGAGGAAGCAAATTCTCTGTCCACTGTTATAAGAAAACTATTCTTGGAGTACCCGGTGTTCTGACAGACATGTACTCCTTTCCATGCTAAATAGTAGCAAGGAGAATGAACTAGTTGTCCTGGACTTTAAAACTAAAAAAATCTTTAACTTTTTATGTATTTTCTACATGATAATGATGTAGTCCTATATAGGATGGTCGAACCTATAATAAATTTTTAAGTGCTGAGAGGAAATATATTAGCACATCCTAACACTCTGTACTGTATTCAGTAATGTAGCTGTTTGCTTCATATCACTATGGTGATAGTCATCACTTTAAAAATGCTACTAAAGCAAACCTTCTGCTACTTTCTTTGCACTCAGAAGATGCTGAAAGCATCAAGAAAATAAACCAGACAGGTGAAGATTTAGACAGCTCTAATGAAAATGTACTAAGTCACAGCAGGTGGTGCAGTAAAGGTGGTGACTGAGACTTCTAAGGACTTAGGACTATACCTAATTTCTACTGCCAAAATCTGTCTAAAGTCTTTGAAAGCTGCAGGAGCAAGATTTACTTTAAATAAAAAAGAAAAAACGTTCAGTGGTCTAATAGACATTTTGGAGTAGTGAGAAAGAAATATTAAATGGCTATTAAAGAAATGGCAGTTGCAAGCAGAGTTTGTCCCTCTGTAACAGAAATGCTTCTTTCTTTCCCAACTAGCAGTGTTTGCCTACTGCTTCAGAAAATAAGTATTTCTGTTTATTAGAGAAATTATGCTGTGCTACACATTGAGAAAATACTCCCTTCCACTTTTCAGAGCAATCAGCTGACATGGATTTGATTCTTCCACTATTTTAGCTTTTGCAAATATGCTTGTTTTATTACATACAAAATTCTCTGAACCTTTCAAAAATTTTCCTTCAGTATGGACTGAATCTCCTTTGCAATAGTTAATTACTTGTATGCAAAATTAATTCCTTAAATGTAAATATATTTTATCTTATATTGAAACAAGCCTTTTTTTTCAGAGGTATCATAACATGACCGTTGCAATTTCCAGTCCATTTCTGGTGCATTTCTTCCATTTTTGTAGATTCTCCCACTCATTTTCTCAATCTTCTAGTCTCAGTAAGCAAGCACTACTTTTTCAAGCATGCACCATGCAAGTTAGTGCGTAAGCAATTTTAAGTATCTGTGTTTTAAGCATCCTTTAATGGATTTTGAACAGGTAGCTGCCTGCTCCACGACATTGGTATAGGTCTTGATGGCTGTTCCACTCTAATTGTTTTGAGACCTTCAGAGCACTCACATCTTTATTTCCTTCAGTTCCAGTTGAAAATTTATGTGAAACAGTAAATTCTTAAAAAAACCAACCCAACAAACCCTCTGTGGATTTGGCAAAAGGTTTTAAAGAAGAGCTTTAAACATCTCTCTGCCTTCTTTCTTGTACATTGGTAAGGCTGTAGTGGCTAATATGCACGTATTTGTGCTGTTTCAGTGTTTGAGAGAATCAAAACACTTCGGTAGCATAATTCTGGATTTGCGTAGGTACAAATGACAATATATCTTAATTAGGCTTTTAATTCAAAATATAGTAAATTTTTTATTCCCAATGCCACACACAGAACACAAACACCATGCTGCAGCTGCTCCAGCTTTCCAGAGAATGTGCAACACATTTTTCTGGAAGGTCTGTTTATTCCAGAGAGTTACTGATCAGAGCACTGTAGTACGTACTTAAAAGGACATCACTCTATATTTAGATGCATTACTGACTCAGTTAAGACTGCGTGTGATTGGAAAGCATTTAGCATAAAAGTGTAATCATGGCATTAATTCAGTGGCACTCTGTGGATTTAACTTGACAGTCAATGTCTACAAGGGAGGGCTGGAGACTCAGAATGATAGGAGGCTGATTATGTTCAGTTGTATGAGAGGCTGGGCAAGACACTTAGGGCTATGTATAGAAAATGCTTTTGGACACTGATGAGTATCTTCTTTTGATCCTCCTTCATCTGCCTTCAAGAAAAAATATTTACTATATGTCGTATTGATATGACAGTCACTCCAGTACTGGTAGGGTTTCACAAAATTCAGTTAGGTCCATTTGTTTGATTTGTAGACTTCACTGCAGTTTTCCCACGGTTTGACTTGCGCATTTTTACTGTTCCCTGTTAGGAAGTTGAGTGGTGGTCACAGTAGTTGAGTTGGATACAATTATGGGAAGAGTTACTTAGAACCACTGGTGCTTACTGGGCTCTGGACCATCAGGTGAGCTGCTCCTACAGCACAGACCCAGATGCTGGTGGGAGTCAGAGCTGAGGCCTGGACACACCGAGGTGCCGGCTGCTGGGCTGTGGACCTCGGCAACATTTGGAGGAGCCCTGTAAGAGGAATTGTAAACTCAAGGTGCTTTGTGGATGATTCAGCATTTCCTGACAAAATTCCTTGATAGAATAAGGTGCCTTAAAAGATAGCTGTGATCTCAAGACTTGCCTAAGCCCCTGGATGAATCTAGCCCTTAATGTTTCTGGTCTGGAATTCTCTTTCCTCGTTTTAAGCCCCATTTAATTTTCTCATTTAATTTTCTCATTTTAAGCTCTTAATGAGGCACATATTTTCAGAAGTTAGTCACCTGAGGCTTCTTTTGTAGTCAAAGGAGGGGATACTCCTTCAGTTTTCAAAGCTCTGAACTATTGTTTTCTCCATGGTTTTGGGAGATAAATGTAGAAATATAAATACTTATTAATATGGAAGATAATATAATTATGAAGGACTATTAAATGACTTCTGAAACGTACCTTATCAGTAAAATTGCTAGAATTGTTAGTCGTTGAGGAACTGTAAAAGTATTCATGAAGCACACTCTTTTGGTTTATGTCTGTGCTCTTTCCATTGACGTTAACACATCTGTAGTTCATCATGTCCTTTTTTTCCTCCTTTTGCTGGCGTAGAAGAAGCAGCAACTCCACAGGTGGTAAAGTGAGTGAAGAACTGCATTTCAGCTGTTTATGTTTCAGATAGTTATATTGAAAAAACTTTTATCTTTAATGCAGGAGCAGACAGTGCAGATAGTTTGGGCATATGAAGCTAGCTGCTATTGGTGTTTAAAAAACCAGACCTTCTCTTTAGTAATTGCTATCGAAGTTGCTGCAAACTTCAGCACTCTCCTAATATGATAAATAGCGCACCTCGGAATAGAAATGTTACATACGCTTTAACCCTATGAGATATAGAGTTGAAAGAAAAGTAATTGCACTGAAAATTCACTTTATAATTTTGAAGCTTCAAAATTATATAATATTTAAATATAATATGACAGGGAGATTTATTGCAAATACATGCAGAGTTATGAAGAGCAGTAGGCTTCTAGATGAGCAGGACTGTATCCTATTACTTTTGAGCCCAGTTGGAAACCTGCAGGCATTATTTCAATGCAGATACCAAATAGGTGGATCTTAGCCCATGCCATTTTTCTTCTGAATGATGAGTTCAGGTGTATTGCAACAGTAAAATATTCTTTTAATTATCACTGCTTTGTGGAAGAGTACTATTTACTTCTGTCTATATTTGAGGGAAAAAAAGTTTAACTTCACAATTGCTTTCATTTTGTTCATCTGTTAGCTGAGATAACTGATTATCGGGTTGTACTGAGAAGGAATAGGGAGGGAATAAAGAGGAAAAGTTGTATGCCTCCTGTGGAGGACAGTGAATTCAGTAGAAGCAGCAGCTACAGGAAGGAAGAGCTGAATCTGGAAGAGTAAGTAGTAAAATGTAAATGCTGTAGCACTCAGCATTAACTTTCAGCATCACCACTTTTTGTGCTGATCTCTGTTTCTGTGAAGGGAAGGATTTTCAGTTGCTTGGGAATCACAGCCCTGGCATACAGTGTAAAGGGGTAGTAAAAGCTCAAGCATGCCATGAAAATCTCATTTAGGAAGGGATGCTTCATGTTTTATGCAGTAGCTCTGTGGTTGGAATACCAAGGCAAGTAGAAGACGTGGATTCAGGTTTTTCTTTCTCTCCCACCTCACTGTAAAATTCTCTGTTTACCAGCGTATGAAAGACCAGTCTGATACTTATGAAGCAATTCCATATTGTACAGGCTGCTGGACCATAGGGAGCAAGACAGTGTGAGGATATCTAGATTGCCCCCGCTTACGGGGAATAATACCTGGGCTGAAGACCCTGCGGCAATAAACGGTTTCATATTGATACTGAACAGTCATTCAATGAGGCTGAGTCCCTAAACAGTCACTGATATGCAAACTGGGACTCTGACGTATCTAACCAGTAAGCTGGACAACCATGCTTGATGCTTTCTCTCTCCTCCTCATCTTTCCCAGCCCATGTAGGTAGCCCATGAAAGGTGGAGCAAATTCAGTACAAGTGAAACAGAGGGTTTTCCGCTGCCCTACGTGGCATGTATACTGTTCAGCTTTGTTATTTTGCTGTTGAATAATAAATTGAGTGCTAAACAAACAGCCGGATTCAGGTGTGGCTTGGGACAAAGGCCAGCAGCCTATACCTCCCTCAACTCTTAAGAAGAAGAAAGGCTTCCAGCAGGACAAAGTCATTGCGTCTGGCCTTGATGGTTCCCTGGGTGGAAGAGCTCAGATCCTGTCAGCATTCTTCAGCAGCATGTCATGCTTGTGCAGGGACCACATGAATCATCTTCTACCATTCCAGACTCACTGGATGCACTCTTAAACCAAGGGCCACAAAGAGCGTATGGACATTTTGGTGAGGAAGAAAAGTAACTAGACACCATAGTGACGGAGGGGGGAAGTCAGATGGTGTCATGGAGAGATTTCTGAGACACTCTGTTACCATGCATAAAAAAAACCCCATGTATTTGAGAGAGATTGCATGATTATATTTTAAACAAAGTATTTTAAAACGCCACCTGCGGAGGAGTCATTTCTAGATACAGTTTAAATATATAAGAGTGAAATCCCTATTTCAGTGAAATCAAGAGAAATTTCATTATTTAATAAGATCATTATTTCTTTTGCAGATTGCAATTCTATTTAGTTCAATGGAAAGCCAGAACATTCCATGTGTTCAGATGATTTTCATATTTTTATTTTAGCCTCATTTTAGGAAAACTTAAAGGATTCATTAGGAATTCTGTGGGAATTTTGCATAAAATATCAAGGCTGGCGCAGGAGTGGGGCAGTTTGTGTTAAACTGGAAAAAACTAACCATTCAGTTTTCCAACCTCTGAACTTTTATGTTCAGCCTAAGTAAAAAGCTTTCATAGCTTTTATTCTTGCTTTGAGTTTTTTTTACACTTTAGAAGAAAAATATGTCATCTAAAGATATTTAAATGTTCCATTATTATGAAATAGATCTGATAAGAATTAGTGTGCTTTGTATTTCTGTTTCGGAGAGGTTTATTTTGCCGTCTGAAAGAGGGCAAGCAGCAAAATTATTTTAACAGACTCTGCAAGCCGTTTCCGAAAGATGATCTGAATAAACATATCCGCATAGTCTCACCTTAACCTCATTGGTCACTTGGAAAGAAAAATCTCCAAATAAATGCTTGCTGTAGTTGAAAATATTTTTAAATATTGGAGTTCTTGAGTCCTCTGTGTTATACACTTTATTAAATCAGAGTTCTGCCGCATCTGTTTCCATGTCAATGCCTGTTAGCTGTGTTATATTTGAGCTCAAAGTCATCATGCTCCAAGCTATTCTGAAATCATCTGCAGAGTTTCATTTAGTATTTGAAGCTGAAAATTTAGCTTTAGTAAACCAGAGCTTTCTCTCCTGCAGACGTTTTTATTCAGTCAGGCAGTGCAAGCCCCTCACAGAGTACTGCTAAGAGTTTCCTCAACGCACACTCCTCAGGCCAAAGCCCCAGGTTTTTATTCATAAATTGGTTTGTGTTTTTAATCTTGGCATATACCATCCAGGAGCTGTGAGTAACCCTGAAACACACACTGAGACACTAAATTTGTGTAACCTCCGTTTTTCCCACAGATTTCTCTATTTACAGTCAGTGCTTAGTATCCTTTTTATTTCCTCCCCTTCTCTACTCCTGTTAACTTCCTCATCTTATCTTAAGACATTTTACCAAGAGGTTTCCAAGCGTGCTGTGGAGACCTCAGATACAGTTGCTGAAAGGCACAGAAGTGAGAGAAGATAAACCTGGCTTGAGGATAGGAGGCCTGTTACGTTCATCTGCACAAACCCAAGCTTGTGTTTGCCAGGCTTTTAAACTTAAGTCATGACTTTTGCTGACTGACTTGGCCTGCAACCCAGTGCCCAGTTGAACTGGGAATATTCAGACTGTCACAGCTTTGTGTATAATTCATAAATAAACCTTTAATGATTTGCAGTTTTACAAAGCACAGATCCGGAAAATGAACTCCTTAGAGTGTCATGTCAAAAACTACCTAGTCAATAGTTTTCCCATGTCAATAGTTTTCCCGTAATATGCCCTGGGAAGTATACCAAGGGTACCTTGTTCTCTAATGGCAGTGGATTTTAGTTCTGTGAACCTGATGATGATTTGATCTTCATATCTGTGTGACTGAAGATTTAGGTAAGTGGGACGTTGCTAGGATTGAAGCTTCCTTTTATATATGTCTGACTGATGACGCAAGTAATATAGGCATTGTGTGATAGGCAGTGGGGTGTCACGGTTGGTTTTGACTAGTCAAAGTTGCTGCTGTTAGCAGGGAGATGAAGGGAAATAACTTCCACCTCTGTCCACATATTCTTCCTGCTGGGTCGTCTGCTAGTTCTCACGCATGTGCACATGTAAAAGTAACTAGATCAGGGAACTGATCTGCCTGAAAACAAATAGTACTTTTGCTGACTTAGCTTTATGCCTGACTAGTCCTCTAGTGTCACGATACAAAGAGATATTTTGAGGTAGAAAATGTACTTCTTGCCTTCTCTGATAGAACTTAGGTGTTGAAATCAGTCCTCAATGTCACCTTCGTCTAGCATTACATTTCATACAGACTCATGCGCAGTTCTCCTGTTCCAGACCAACTCTGTACTGGTATTTTATAGCACATTGTTTGATATTTGAAAAATTGAAAAAAGGGTCTGTAGCCAAATAGATGGTATGCATGTGCTTGAGAAGATGTCTGTCCACTGCATAAATATTTCATTATGATAGTTCCAGTGTACTAAGGAACTAGCAGCCTATTTCAATTCTGCTGCTGTAATTTATTTCAAGTGTCTTATTTGTCCATAAATACCATGTTTGATTTCTTCACTAGACATAAAGACATTATTTAATGTAGGCGTTTCTCTGAATTTCATACAATTTTGCTAGATCTAAAGGCAGTTGGAGAGAATTGTCGTACTTAGGTCATTTGTTGTCTCAATATATGCGTTATGTTTTGATAAGACTCCTCACCCTTTCTTTTCTTGATCTCTAGTATAATATACAAACAGATCAGTACAGAAGTTGTGATAACGTCTCTGCCAAATCATCAGATAGTGATGTCAGTGATGTGTCAGCCATTTCCCGAACCAGCAGTGCCTCACGCCTCAGCAGCACAAGTTTTATGTCAGAGCAATCTGAACGCCCTCGGGGCAGAATCAGGTGAGTTCTCAGTGCAGCTTCAATTGTATCACACCCCTCCTTTCGGTTAGTGCCAAAATACAACCAGAAATTGTTGAAGTTAGATGACCACAACATAAGAGTTTATGAAAAATGTTATGCACCTATAAACTGTCTTCCATTGCTAGCCTAAGATGACAGTATTTTTGCAATTGTGCATCTAAAACAGAAAGCAAACTTCCCATGAGGAGATGACAGATTAATGTATTCGTGGCGAGTGGAACTTGAACACACACTGTCATCTCATTGCTGGCTGTGAATCAGTGTAATCTATGTGCCAATAAGGTATTATAGCAGAATATTACTAGATTTTTTTTATCTAAAGAATTTTCTTTCATAAAAGCTCTCTTTTTGTTTCTTTCAATCTGTGTATTTATTGCCCTACCTACCTGGTTTTATTTTGCTGTTTTCATGCATATGATAAATTACTAGATTTGAAACAGAAGTTTGTATAACAGTTTTGATATCTCTGGTTCAAGAGTAGTTTACTTCACTTGCATTTTCAATAATAAAATATCTCTTTCATCCTTGACAATAATCTATTCTCTGTTTAGTGCTTTTTTAGATACACAGGTTGGTTCCTGTCTTCATTTAACTTGATGACAAAACTCCCAACAGCTATAATGTCTGTAGGATTTGCTTGGTAGTCTATGATTACATCTACCAATCTCTGAACTTTCAAAAATTTTACTTCAAGTGTTGTAAGACACAAGAAGAATTAGGAACTATAAGAAAAAGTTATCCCTATGGAGGAAATCAGTCTGAGAAGTCTGGATGGCATCATTTAGTACTTCAGAACACTGCTAGACAGACTCACTATCCGAGAAGTTCAGCTGTAGGCTTTTTGATCTCTTTGTGCAATGGGAAGGGTTGTTAAGGAAATGCAGAAACTGGCCTCTATGTATGAACTAGCTCCATCTCATTTTTTTTGTTCAGGAAAGTTCACAAGGGTATTCAAAGTCATGTTTCAGATTGGGGAAATTTTAACCCAACAGCTGCAGTAATCCACAATCCAGCAGAATGCTGCAGTGTAACTGTAAATATTTTTAAAGTTGTTCAAATGTTTAAAGTTATTTCAATTCATATGTTTAAATGCTTCATTTCATTGTGTCCTAGCTTTTCAGTATTTGTCTCTTACAGAGTGCTTTATTCATACCAAAATACCTGTATTCTCTAAACACCTTGTCACAGTATCTTTGGCAGGTAGAACAAAAAAGGATTTTTTTTCCCATAAATATCTCTGTGTTGAAAGATTTTATCAGCAATGTTCCTTGGGTTTAGAATGTCTGATCACAAATATCAGAACCAGGAGAACTAGTAACCTCATGTGAGGCTGGAAAGGGGGAAACCTAGGGTCAAATCCTTGATGTCGTTCAACTTCTTGCACTTGAATGAGTAGCAGAGTAGCTTGGGTGCAGGATTAGCCAACCTAGTGTACAAAGCCAAGTGTCTGCAATGGGAACTCTAGTTCAGCTTCACTCTAGATCCCTAAAGCGAGATGTGAGTAGAATTCAGATGCCTTCTCTTTCCGATACTGTCCACAGGATCCATACCTCAGAGATTAAACACTTCATACTTGCTTGCTTTAATTTTCTGTAACTTCAGGTAGTACTTCCATAGTGAACAAAATGTGTAGTAAAAATATACAGTGCAGCTCATTCAGTAGAAATATGAGGAGGAAATTAACAAATTCATAAATTACTCATAACTGTCAATATTCTTCTTCTAAGCTGGCAGTGGTTTTGCTCCCCTGGAAGACCTGTTAAAAGTGGGACATGCCTAATGGTGAAAGGGTTGATTGTGAACAGTTTTTTCAGAGTGAGATTTGTGCTGTTTAACTTTGGCTTTAAAAATTACATATCTACAGTGGAATTCACTTAAAAATTAGGTTTTTGTTAAATTATTTGTCTAACTTAAGTCATCATTAAAAAGAAAACACCTATTATCTTGGATGCTTCACCTCATCTTCAAATAAAAGACAGGTGAATTGTCCTTTTCTAGCATTAATTGTTGAAGGAACCCTAGATGACTAGATTGCTTGTTTTAATTTTTGACATCTAAAAGTAAGTGAAATAGATTCTTTTTCTTAATCACTAATGTTTCTTTAAGTTCAAGGAATTAGAAATTTCAAGTTCAAGTTTTATTCTTACCTCCAAGGAACCTGATGTCAACATATGTCAAGTGGGATGGCATGGTTGAGCAGGAGGGGAAAGGAAAAGAGCTGCTTTTTTTTTGCCTTTTTTTTTTTTTTTACTACTTGTCTTCTGTCTTACTGAAACCACATATCCACCATCATCTCTATTTGGGAGTGTGTCAGCCCAGTGGCCGTGGCAAGTATGTGAGTGTAACGTTAAGTTTAAAGACCAAGTTTACTGAACTGCCTTTTTTATGCACCTACTTTTGTTCTCCATATACCCTCTGGAGATGAGAGCTATGAAGAAGCTAGCAAGCGTTTGGAAACTTGAAGGAGGTGGCCCAGTTTTAGCCATCTCACTAAACTAAGTCATTCAACTGGTATCTGTAGGTGCCTGGTGTATCCTGAAGAAAAATATACAAATTCAGAATACACGAGCAAGATTCCTGGTCTGGATCACCTTTGGAAAGGGTATCTCCGTCTCTTTTTCCATTGAGTAGAGAAAAATTAATCCTAGGGCTATTGACCAGCAAGCTGAGTTAATTAAATTAAATGGATAAATCTCACTGGAGTACTCCAGGGTTCAGATTAGGAACCTGAGGTGAAACTGTGCTCCTCTACCATTTCTACATGAGCTAAAAGCCACTGGTTAGTCATTCATATTAAGAGTTGCAGTGTCAAATTCCTGAATGTGAAGTGTGCCAGCTTAAGACAGCAGTAGTTTTAGTTAATGTTGTTAGTCAATATAACCCCATCATCCCTCACAATAATGCATCTGTGAAAGGGATATAAATTAAGCTACTAGACATAAGAAAATACAAGATGCTGTCCTCTTTAGGGCTGTCATTAAGAAAGCAAACTTTTGTTGAAATTTTGTACGAAGTATCATTACTTTTAAATGCCAGAAGGACCAAGGTCATAGTGAGTGTGGTTTATATCCACTAACTTCACCACCAGTTCTGCCAGCACAGACAGCTTCCTGACCTTTCCTCCCAAATCCTAATGGGTTTGCAATCCTCAGTTTTGAAGATTTGAGATTCTGTCATTTCAGACAATGTTCTATACTATCTTGTGTTTATAAATAGTTATTTCTTTATTCAAGCAGTAAAGGTTTTAAAACCTGGAAGCATATCTGTTTTTCTGGTAGCTCTGAAGTCTATGGGTATTACGTATAAGTATAGAACAATTCATGGGGTTTTTCAGCAATTTTTAATTTTAATGAGTAACTCCTTCAGTTACATTACTCAGACTACACTGTGCTTTTAATAATGTACAGCATTTATTGAATGAAACACTATCTGGACAGCAAGGATAAAACCTTGCAGTTTTATGCAGTGCAATGCAGAGATACTGTGCATCTTGTTTGAATAGCTAGATAACACTATCTATTCTTGGGATCAAAACTCCCAAATTTAAAGTTTTTTGTAGTATTAGGAAACTTGAGCATGTTGAAGAACGTAACAGAGAGAGAATGAAAGCAAATCTTCCCTTTCCTTTATTCAATGACAAGACTGTGTCTAAACCTTTTAAAGCAGAAGACTAATTTCATTCCTACAGTATATTTGTAATTGAATTACCTGTCAGAAAGCTGTGACGTAGCATGCATGGAAAATACCATTAGTTAATCTTTAGCCTGCAGATTTTGTGGATTAACACTTCTAATAGGTTGCAAGAGGGAATTATGATTGATGCAAGTTCTAAATATAAATATATAAAATAGCTTCTTCATTTCTAATTTGTTTAGCATTTTCCGGTGAATGTTATAACAAATGGCTATGTGTGGATAAACTAGTTGGCATATGAAATTATTCCAAACGTCTTTCTTGTTACCATCCTGGGAAGTCTGGTTGACTGCCATACTCTCTAGTGGAAGCACAGGCAAATATCAGGAATTTTTGTTCTGGGAACACAGTGTTCTGGGACTTTTGACTCGAATCAGAATCGGACTTGTGAATTTGCCTTGCCATAGCATTTGGTGTGTATTTCATGACTGAAGTCAGATTACCAGTCCTTCTTTATGGAGGTTTGCTTTCATCAGTCATGATCTTTATACATTCATAATACAGTCAAGCAATACTTTGTGCCCATGTACGCTACAGATGTTACTGTGTATGACTCGGGAACACTTCTCACATCCTGAATGAAGCAGAAGGAAATTTTTCAGAGTTTAATGCAAATGATTGATAAGTAAGAGTCCGTGTTAAATACATGATGTTAATCAGCACCATATGGGCTTGATCAGGCACAGAAGGACATTTGCTCACTTCATTAAAAACTATGCCCAATGATATCATTGCATCATTTGTCATTAGGGGCCTGCTTATGCTTCTTGGTGATGTCACATAGGGAACTCCCATGCATGGTAAAGATGAGCTGGAGGCTTCTGTTTTGGAGAATTGAGCAAGTTGGCTACCGTAAGGTATTTCACTTAAATCTGATTGAACAAAGTCTACTAAATATATGAAAGACTAGATAACTACTTCTAGGGTGCATTTCCCTCAATGTATCTGAATGTCAAACAAATTGACTCTGCATTAGGAATATCACTGTTATTCCTCATTTTAAATTTGGAAACCAAATCTTTATTAAGAACTATATTTAGTGTCTTAATAAATGTGTGATATAGTTATGTATGTGCCATATTTTAATCTGGTTTTACATACTTAATTGAATGCTTAAGTTTACAGTTTTTAAAACTTTGTTTTATTGAGCTTATCAAAGAAAAAGATTAATATAATGGGTTGTAACAGTGGACTTAAACCAGTCCTAACTTATTTCATATATTATAACATGCCACACAACGGCTTGTATTACAAACTCATATGTGTTTCTTGGGATTCAGATATCT